ACAGCAGCTTGGGAAGGAAAAGAGGCCGGGGTAGGCCTATGAGTGGTCCGAAGTGGTACCAGCCASTTCGGCTRCATMTAYCTGRCCAAAATAGGGCCCGKGTACCTCYKGAGAGGCCAAAACTTGAATTTTGGCCTTGGAGGTACSYCGGCCTACCAAGGGGGYACTTGGAGAGGCCTAGGGGCTAGGCGGTGCACTAGTTCCAGCCTACRTAAGCTGGGAGTGCTGCCYGCCACTCCCATTTGAGCATGAGAGGTGCCCATGCTGCTAGTTTGAGCCCGTGAGAGCACTAGTGAGAGTAGGGCAAGGAGGAGTGAGCCGGTGCTAGCCTTGAAGCATGGTTATGGTATTTTGAGGTAGGAAGGAGGACTAGAAGCTAGGGGAGGTGGTCCAAAAGGAGGACTAGAAGCTAGGGGAGGTGGTCCGCCATAGCCCTAAGGCTGTAAGGTAGAAGGAGAGGCTTGCTGGGGTCCCCTTAGCCCTTCTAGAGGGAAGGACTCCACAACCCTAGTAACAGGAGCTGACCATAGACTGAAAGGAGAAGTGGAAGAGGGAGGGGAAAAGGGAAGTCATATCCAAGGAACTAGAACCAAGCTTGGGACTTCATCACTAGGGAACTGGCAAGGAGGTGAGTGGCTTGGACGATCTGGCAATGAAGGGATTGTGCGACATGGGACCGTAATGAGGAAAAGGGGGTTTGAATCTCGAACGACCGGGATGGACTTTGGGCTTTGACGATCGCATGACTAGCGCGACCTGAAAAGACTAAGGGTCGGGGATGGGGTTGGAGCCTGACTTTGCTGTGATGTGTGGTTGTGGCTAGGTCGCGAGTTTGGTAGGACCGCCTGGAAGGACTAAGGGTGGTCACGAGACCTGGGGGATGTATGCGTAGGCCGACTAGAGGAAAGATAGGGGCTAGGGGCAGAGGGACGCGCCGCCCCGATGATGCTATAGGAAACTAGGGCCGTTAGTGAAGGAGTGCGTGGCCTAAGGAGAACGCTTAGCCTACGCACCGTAAAGAAGAGAAAACTCTCAATGAACCTCCCTGGATTGCCTGAGTATTGGAAGGAGCAATTGCCTGGTAAGACAAACGGAGAATCGAAAACCTTACGCCTGCGGACTTAGACCAGTGAGGCTACCACCCGGCCAGAGGGCTGAGCTACATCCCCAATGTTAAGCTCTCTCGCCCTGTTGGCCCAACCCCATTCATCTCATAGCACTAGGTGGGGGTGCCCCTGGGACGAACGACCCGCGCCCTGAGAGTGAGTGTGGGCGGTTCGAGCCAAGTGGGACCCACAGTGGGGTCGACCAAGGCTCGAAAGTCCTTCAGGGTACGGTCCCGACAAAATGGTGGAGGCGCCGAGTAAGGGTTAAATTGACCTATATGATCTCGAGGGGGGCGCCTGACGCATGACTGAGAATACAAACGTAAAGATAAGGAATATGGACTTGTGAGTGCTCTATCCTCTCAGAGAATCAGATTCGAGGGTGGCTGGGCGCATGGCAAGGTCAGGCCCGGAGGAAGAACATACAGGTTTGCAGTTTTACTCAACCATCTTCTTTGGGGATGACTCTAGTCCTCCTTCCCTTGGGCTGATGTTCGTCAGGCCGGGGAAGCCTTGGGCAAGCCGCAGGTCGACCCTTCCTCTTCGTATGAAAGAAGGGCTCCGGTTACCTGGCAGGCGGTTGGGATTCCGGGCCAGTCCGGGTTCCAATAAAAATCCCGCGGCGGAGTGATCCGACCGACCTGGGTGCTTCTCCGCTTCTCTTTGGAGCCCAGCGGGCTCCGTGCACCGCACTTAAATGCTTGAAGGAACCTCATATGAACACAAACGGTAATCGAGAAGGAACAATCCTACACTATGAACGGACACACAAGTGAAGATGAAGGGAATGAAGGGAGTTGCTAGACTCCAGGGAAAAACTAGCTCCCCCTTGAAGATGCTCACGAAAAGGAACCGGACACTATGTATGGAAAGTAGGGGTGAGTGGCACAGGCTGTCATGAGAGAAAATTTGTGAGCTAAGGGTAGGAAGCGCTGGGTGCACCAGGGGAAAGACACTTATGTTATGTAAGTCCCACTTGGGGCTTGTGATTGCATGATTCGGATTTCGAGCGTCCTGCCATTCGGAAGGAAAGGATTGGTTTGTGCCGGCCGGTGCGGGATGCGAACTGGTCGTCCTCTTTGAAGTTTACCGGGTTCCGTGTGTGGGGGTCGGGCCACCGAACTGTCAGGCAAGATTTGGTCTTGTCGGCTGATTAGTAGCATTCTCATCCGAGTGATCTGAGCATGGCTCGATGACCTTGCCCAGACAGAATGTGAAACCTCTTCAGGCGGGGCGGCTGCTTGTCAGCAGACGGCAGGGGGACCACTGCATATGGGGCAAGGAAGGAGCCTCGGAGACGATCAAAAGCTTCTCGTAGCATGGCTTGGGAAAAATTGTTCCTTATCGGACCGATGGAAGTGAATGTCTGGACGGCTGGCTCCAATGGCCCTACCGAGATGTGCGGGGTGATTCCTGAGATTAACGGTGGGTACACGAGCGACAAGTCGGGATGGGGCATTCTGGGTAAGGAGGAAAGGGCGAATGCCTTGCCGAGACCTGGGTACTGCGCTCGCGACGGTTGAGCTGTGCTGAAGGTTTGGGCTGAAAACCCTGCCGATAGTAACAGTGGAAAGACCATTTCTGGGAAAAAGGTCGGTGAGGAGATAACCGACCTGTGTGCGACGTTTGCCTGGTTTTGCTTTTTGTGCCTCCCTCTGTAAAGTTGCCTGATGAATGTTGGAAGGGGACCGAGCTTCTAAGTCTATTCCCACCTCCAAGTCTGAGTCCGCACGAGAGAGAGAACATGAGGGAGAGGTTGGATAGGAGTCAGAAGAAAGTGGAACCAAGAAAAAGGAATGCGAGCCACTGGTGATCGATGGGGGGGGGGACTGGTTAGGGATGTGGCGCTGGCTGACATGCTTGGAGGATGGGTAGAGAACTTTAGGGAGACCTTGATGAGGGGTCTCTAAAACAACGCTCATCTAGGATAATGGTGGACCTAACCCGAGGGCCGATTGGTGCACTCATTGGACGAAACAGGTCTTGGCCACCGGTATAAAGAAGGCAAGATGGTGCAGTGGCTGGCGTCACCAACCTACTCAGATGGACCAGAGATGCCAATAGATGTGAAGGGTGGGGTATCGGTCGTAATGCTAGAGGAAGGAACGTGGACGGACCTGGAGCCGGCCTATCAAACCGTAATGCTGGGCGAAAGTGATGCCTTCCTATGGATTGAAACGATGTGGACTAAGGTAACCTTGACCAGGATAACGCCGTGCTTATTGGACTTAGAGTTCCGGGGGATCGTGGAAGCCCGGGGATGGATCTACCTGTCAAAGGTGAGGGAGACTGCGATGGTTGTCGAACTCGCCTTGGGGAAACTTCCGTACAAACTGTTCAGGGAAGCCGAGCGAGAAGTAGTGTGGGCCGCGTGCCAACGAGTGGAAATGACGATGAAATTGATTGATGTGCGGGTAGAACTTGGGGATAGGGAAAACGTGCGGAAGCCGTACAGGGCTCTAAGGTGTGTCATGCCGCCCTTCATGGTAGACGCCTTCTTTGGAACCCGGAGTAGGTTGGTGCGAATATGCGGGGCCATGACGGGATTGGGGTTGCACCAGGGAGCCCGCCAGGATTTCTTCCGGCTGTCGGTCGAAATGGGACTCTTCGAGGGAAACTGGGGAAGGGAACTGGCCGAGATCTTAAACCATCTCAGCACAGACGGCATGTTCGTCCCAAGCGACGTGCACTGGCGGATAGTTTACAGGAATGTTGCGGTAGGGGAAATATTTCTGGAGGGTGTACGGGACCTGTGGCCTGAAGAGAATGAAGATGACTCCGAGGAGGTGGACGAGATGGAAATCGAGGAATGGGATTTCTAGGGAAAAGGGGGGCTGAGGACGGAGTGGTTGGGTCGCGTGGGGGTGTGAAGGGAATCAAGGATGACAAGGGAGCAAAGCTTATGGGCGAGGATGTTTAGAGGATGGACACCTAGGAGGGTTGAGGGCGGGGTAGAGATGGTCTTGCCAACAAGGAACGAGTGGCGCGGCGCGGCCTGCGACTGGGTGGGAGTAGAGATGGTACCGACTATGTCCTTTTTGTGGGTAGAACGGGTGTGGGATCCGGTTCGAGAAAATGAGGCGTGGGATGAAATAGCCGAGGGGAACGTGGAAACACTTGGGACGGTGTGCCTTTCGAAGAATGGGTTGTATATGTTTTGCACGCACCTAGCGGCGGGACGAGACCCGATGTGGATTTTAAAGGATGCCGAGCGGTTAACTTGGGAAATGGGGCAGGATTTTGCAAATGAGGGGTGTGATGAAGTGGGAAGCAGGGTCGTGATGGGGGGATGGGAGGACCTTAGGCTCCCCTACCAGTTAGTCCAGGTGAGGGTGCCGCATTTTGTTGCAGACTGGTTCGGAGGGTACGAACATATCCGCGCCGTAGCGGAATCCATGAACGAGGTAGAGATAGGCTTCGCCTGGTTATCAGACGCTTATTACGAGGCGTCATTGCGATTCGGGCCGTTTCACGGGAACCAGGTTGAGGAAGTGGTCGAGATCCTGAAGGAACTTAAGAACTACCGACTAGAGGTAGGAGAGGAAGTTGAGGAGGCGATACTCCGTCGGGAAATAGCCGCAGCGCCCTCGTATGTAGGGGACGTCTTCTTGCTGTTTGAGGTCCTATGGATTTGAGTACGGACCGGGAAAAGAGGAGAATAGGGGGATTGACTGGGAAAAAAAAGGGCATTGTACATTAAAAGAAGGGGTAGTGTACACAAGAGAGGGGGGGGACCGAAATAGAGAGGGGGGAGGCTAGGGCAACTAAGGAGATAAGGGGGGAAGACGAGAACTAAGGGAACTTGACTAACGTGGTGCAGGCAGAAATCAAGAGCGAGGAGCGGGAGCAGGTAACGAGAAATGGCTAGGCATATGACGGCTTGGGAAACTCGGCCGGGATCTTGCCGCCACGTTTCTTGGATAGAAGGGTGGAGGTTAGCCTGCCCTCTAGGAGCGGGGTGTATAATCCGGCGATGGACAGGGTTGGGGTAGAACTGGTAGAGGACACGGTGTACCTGGTGGTGGAACTAGAATGGCGCGCAAGGGGTGAGTTTGGGGGCACCAACCTGGAGTTGCCAGGACGGGTGCGCGCGACAGGGTCCCTATACTTGTCGGATGTGGGATGGCGGACCTTCGGGGTGGCCTTGGCAGATGGCGGTGACCCCGTACAGATGTTTGACGGGGCGTGGCAGGTGACCTGGAGGGAAGGGTTTGCGTTCGCCAGCCCGGACCGGGATGACGTAACGGCGACCGTCCGGGCGGTCGAGGTAGGAGCTAGTATCTTGCCTTATGAAAATGTGCGCATGGTCTTGCCACCCTTTTTGCTTGAGCGAATGAGAGGGGTAGAACGTGTTGAGATGGCAGTAATAGCCCTCGGTAGGTTGAGTTTTAGTAACATGACCGTCTATCGAGAATACTACCGGGCCTTTCTGGAACTAGGGTCGTTCGATGAGGAGCAGGAGTACGAGGTGCTAAACATTCTACAGGCCGTAGTGGGCACTAGACCTGGAATACCGACGGTAACCGAGGAAGTCGTGTGGGAGATAGCTAGGCGCGAGATAGGATGCGGGTTGACGTATGTGGACGACGTCCGCCGGCTGTTCGAGGGGGTAGAAGAGTAGGAGGGCAGAAAAGAAAAGCAAGGGGGAAGGTAGATCAGCGGGATCGGGCTATAAGGGGGCTTGAAGAAAACTGAAAAGAGAGGTTCCTTTTCCTTTTTTTTCGTTTTTTTGTGCGTGGTGTATGCAGGGCGATATTCGCCAACAATGGTGGCAAGACGCGTCCATACGAAGCGGCGGGACATGCACCCGCAACCGCCCATGAAAACCGGAGGCGGATGGGAAGTGTCACTCTCGGCAAGCTACATTGTCCGGGGGATAGATACGGAATGGCGGGCTGTGACCCTAGGACGGAATCAGGCTTTCATGCTAGTTGAATGCCTATGGGGTGGCATGAGATTCGATAGGGGGCCAGGAGACGACTTATACACTGACCTCAGGGTGATAGAGACTCTATATTCCACAGAAATCGGGTGGCAAATGTTGGGAACTGGACTGGCCTTGGGGCATGGGTTGTTACCAGTGTTTAGGAGGGCAGTCAGGGTCCTGAACCGGATAGGCCATGAGGTTAGGGGAAGATGGAATGTGGGATTAAGGACGCGAGTAGAAGTAGGGGGATGGCGAGACTTTAGGGCCCCTATGTCTGGACTGCGCTGGAGGGTGCCCCGGTTTATGGTTGATTTGGTTTTTGGGAGCCTCGCTCGGGCAAGGGACCTGGTGAATTCAACCGTAATCTGGGAACGCTACTTCTCACCATCAGCCACGGGGATGTTCTATGACGTGGCAGTAAGGCACGGGCCGTTCTGGGGAAATCGGGCGCGAGAATTGCTGGAACTTCTTGAGATCCTGATATTCGGAACGCCCCGTCTGTCGTTTGAGGAATACGAGCCAATAATCATAAGGGAGATCGAGATGGGGGAGAACTATCTCGCAGGGGTGGCAAGACTATTTGAGGAACCGGATGAGAGGGAGAGACCGGAAGAGCCAGTGTAGGAAAGACGCCAGGAAAGATGGTAGAAATAAGAACCAAAGGGAAAGAAAAATAGGTATAAAAGAACCGATTGGATGACCGCGACCAGGTCTACCATGGGTCGAACACATGCCAGGAAAAAGGGGGGGAGAGATGCCGTTGCAACCAAAGGTGCGGCTAAGATGCCTAGGATAAGCAAACGGAAGAGCAAAAAAGGGTGAAAAATAGGCAATTCTAAAGGCTAAGAGAATTATGCGCGATTGCCAAAATTGTTTTTTCTTCCTTCCATATCACAGGGCTAGAGGAAGGAAAACATGGCCACGGGAGACGAGGCTGGAAGTCAATTGAGGGACGAAAATCAGGACGTAGAGGACGACGTAGATCAAGAAGAGCGGGACCTAGGGGATCGGGGGTCGGCAAAGTCACTTAGAAACAGGGAGAGGAGCAAGGACGCTGTGCCCGGGGAAGATTCAGGAAAGAGCGGGGGAAGTAAGCGGGGGACTCCGGGAACCAAGGAAGTCAGAGACAGAGACAGGAAAGAGCGGGGGAAGTAAGCGGGGGACTCCGGGAACCAAGGACTCCGGGAACCAAGGAAGGCGCTGGTCCGAGTTCCGCGACAGGACCTGGGATGATTGAGGGAGGGCTTAGGAAGGTGGTGTCGTCCCTCACACATGCTCTAAGCAAAAACCAGGGATACTTGGCCGACGCTAAGAAAAATATGACTTTCGATGGCGGAAGCATCACCAAGTTCCTAATCGATTATGAAAATCTAGCAGCCTTACTAAGATGGACTGAGGAGGAAAAGATGGAGCACCTAGGCCAGCATGTGTCACTCAACCTAGGAAGGGACATAATGGCAATCGTCGCAACAAGCGGATCATGGAAAGAGGCCAAGGACGTAATGACGAGGAAGTATCTAGCAGACGAAAAGATGGCCACGGAGGCGGAACTGGCTACAGTGCAGAGGAAGAATTTCGCGACATACAGCGACTTCCTAAGGGAGTTTACTCTCGTAGAACTACGAATCCCCGGAGTGACGGACCGAATAATGAGCAAGTACTTCCTAAAGCAGTTCACCGAGTTTGACAAAGATAAGATTTTATCTGCCTACCAGCAGACAACAAAGTTCCTGAACACTAGAGACGTAGATTTCAGCACTGTAATGGATATTGCAGAGAAAACAGTCATTTCGTCAAAACGGACATATTATATTTTTTGAACGAAATCAAAACTGATTTTTTTTGCCAAAATCCGGTCGGAATTTTTTGCTCATGGGGGTCCGGCGTTCCCAAAACGCCGGAACGCCGGACCCCTCTAGTCTATGGTTGAGACCAGATACAAAAAAAA